TATCCTCAAAGACTTGGTCAATTAACTGCATCTTGTTTTTTAGATCTTTCCACAAGAAGTGCCTCAGCGCAGGTGACCAAAAGGGAGTTGGCTCATTTTGCAATCATCTGCTGCCAACACAAGTCCAGATCCTGAAGCCCTCTGGTTTTTAAATCAATCCCCATCCAGGGGGCTACAACATCTCTTTTCAATTGCCCAAATTTTCTTACTGTTTTTCCAACGCACAACAAGCCAAGACACTCAGTTTTACTATAGGATATCTATCCATTTCTGCAGACACAAGCCCCACTTACAGCCTGGAAGACTTACATGGAAAGGATTGCTATTCCAGCCCTCCACTCACATCACTTTTAAGATCGGATACCTAAAATATTAAAACAACAGACAAGACAACCTCGCTTGAAATGATAAAAGGAAACAAAATCCCACCTTCTCGGGGTTCACTGTAATGAGAAAGCATTTCACACATCAGAAAATCAGATTAGCAACACATCAACAGTTGGGTGCTGAATCTTTTGATACTCATCAGTTACCAAAGGAAGGGGGAAGCTGATCTTGCAATCAAAGCACCAGACTAGGACAACAATTTCTGTTCTCAACTCTTCTCCAGGCTCCTCCTGTTAATGTGGATTTCTATTTCTCAGTTCCCCAGCTGTAAAACAAGAGGTCATAATAACGCCTCTCCTCTCCCTGCCCAGTGTCTGCCCTGGCTATAGGCACTGGTAGATACTTGGGGTAAGACACGTTACCCACAAGCAATAAGAGTGATCATATCTACCAGCAAAACGCTGGGAAGGAGCAAGAAGAAAGAGAAACTCATGGATTAACTCACTTTCCACAGCCAGAACTTGGCACTCAGAGTGCAGTTTTACACTTTCTGGCAGATATGAGGAGCAGCCAGGCCTGGACACTTCACAGGTTGGAAGAACGTGGCTGCCTGGGACATATCCCGCAGAAGAAGAGGAACAGCAAAGGTGTAAACTGACATGGAGGACATATTCTCTCTTACCCATACAGATTAATGCATTCATTGTGGAAGGAATTTGGAGCAGAGGGCATCTTGTCTGGCACCTGATAATCAGGTGCAGTAGTTGTGGGGATCAGATGACTTAATTAATTATTAAGCAAATGTTATTCAGGGTCTGAAAGTCCTAGCTTTCCTCCTTGCAGGACAACTGCCCAAATTCTTGCCTGGGATGGTAGATAGGAAATTATCTCAAGAAAACCATGATAGTAGTTGCTGCAATCAGACAAGAAAGGCCATTTTCCTCCTATTTGTATCCTCCTTGTGCCTGCTACAAAATAGGGAGAGAACTGTTCTCACTGAGGCACTGCCTTGTTAGACCCACACTGAAGGGCTGCGGACACGGTCTATAGCCCCATGGTGGGAGGACTGAGGTGAGCTTATGACGACACTCCGCCTAGGATCAGCCCTAAGATCCTGTGGTTTGTGGTGGGGGTGGTAGCAAACCAATCTCTTGGAGGCCAAAGTTAAGCTGCAGTGGTATGCCTACAAAAAGCACTTTGCTGCAGCTCTAAATAACCACTGTCAGTCGTTTAAAAAACTTGTGTGCTCCAAAGCACCCTCCATCCTCAGCATGGCAGCATGGAAATAGCAACATTTAAAAGGCAGCCAGCTGGTAGACCTCCCAGTCCAACATCAACTGATTGTCTCTATCACTGCGTCTGCTCAACAGCCCCATGCAGATCATCATCTGCACATCAAATCCAGGATGCACTCTACAGAGCCCTATCTCCCTGCACAGTCTACAGCTCTGTCTTCTTTCTTTCCTTGAGTCTTGGTCAATGTTACCAGTTTGTGGAATGACTTCGGTCTCTGAATGACCAACTGAGATACATAAAGGGACAGTATTTTCAGAAGACAATGCTTTTCACACTTGAAAACATCTCTAATTAGGTGCCTGACATCTTTAGCCACCGATCCTTTTGATACTGGGTGTATTGCAGGGATGGGAACACAGAACAGATCTAGCACTGGACAACATGTCTGTGTTGACTTTGCCAGCCACTCTCAGAAATATGTCCTGATGTTGCCTCTGTGGTGGCTTTCTGGGATAAATACTGTGGCTTTCATCCCTTCTGCCCAAGGAACCACGGTACAATTGTACCAACCGTACCGGATGCATCTTGCACAGGGATCAGCCAAGAGATTTCCACCCTCATCCATCCACCTCCCTGCTCTGCCACAGACCCAGTGAGACCCTGCACATGCCCCTGTGACTAGAAGCCACACCAGCACACAGCCTCCTTGCTTCTGTGGAGAAGCAGAAGCACTTTTCCAGATCTTGGTCTGACTGACTCACGCCCCTGTTTACCACCATGACCATGGTGAAGGTGGGAATTTCTTTCCAGCGCATGTGTGTTTTGAGAATGAATACCTTGATGTTTGGAAATTCATGGGGCCACCCGAACAGCCATGAGTTGTCAGCTGTAACTGAGTACAGCAGGATGGAGGATGTACATCTGTACTCCTAGGAGTAGAGAGCGCAGATCTGATCCTCACAGACTCGAGTACAAATCACAGCCACCATGTCCCCCAGCAGAACGATGAGGCAGAAAGCAGAGCAGGGATTTGCGTGTACTTCCTCATCCATCAGCAGCTACCCTTACTGCCACACGGGAGGTCACACCACCAACCGGCACAGCAATGTCCTCCCCCTGCCTAGCCCCCCAGCACTTACCCTCATACTCCCTCCCACATTAGCAGAGCAAGAAGCCAGCACACACCTGTCAAAGCAGGTCAGGGACCAGACCACTTGCCCAAGGTTGTCTGCGTGGAAAGTGGGACAAGCCCTCCAGAAAAAGCTGGCTAGCCTCGTACGATATCATGCAAATCAGGAAGAGGCCAGGGGAAACAAGATTGGGAGAAACCTTGCATGACCAAGGTTATATTAGAAGGTTATATATTCAGCCTCTGCACACAAGTGGGGGAGGCAAGGGGTGTGTGTGCACACACTCACTCAGGCAGAAGGTACCTCCTGCTTTCACCAGCGTTTGCTGGGTCTGCGTGCTACAAAGGAGAGTCATGCTGTTCACAGCAGGAGCCTAACGCGGCGGGACCCAAAACGAGCCATTGCATCAACAGACACAGATCCAAGGGGAGACAATGAAAAAGTTAGTTAAAGGATTAGCACACATACAAGCCGGGGTCTGTCCCATATTTACCTCCAAGAAACAGTGACGTTTTATTTACTTATCATACTTATCTACTGTTTTATTTATTTATCATACCAACCAAAGCCTGGTTTCTCAAGCCCAGCCTTCTCCTTTTTCTGGAGGATGAATTCCAGTCCCTCACGTAACACTAAACTCCCCAACATCTCATTCTTGCTCCAGCAAACCCAGCTGCAGGGAAGGAAGACAGATGCTACTGTCACTACTGAAATACAGGAGATAGGGCCACAACAGAA